GTGGTTGCTCTAGGTGTTTCGTTATATACAGGGTTGGCAGAAGTAGGTTTACAGTTGTATGTGAAACAGAGTTTATCCTTGTATTATTATTTATTTAATTAATTACTGTATTATTTATTATTATCATTAACCTATGTTTGCCCACCCTTGTATATAAGTAACTTATCACAGTCACTTGGTGTCATTATTTATTGGTTTGAATCAAGTATAGAAACCTTACCTCTCTTTACATCCCTTTACTCTCTCATTTATGATTTTCTTAAAATATTTCTGCTGGGTTGGGGTAGAATTTCAGGTTTCCCATGTTTCTCCACTGACACAGCACAGGAGAAAAGCTTGTTACTTCCTGGTGAGATGAAAGTCCTGGCTCCCTACTCAGCCTTCTCTGACACCACCCTGGCAGGGGTAGGTTAGGCACCTCATTATTGTCCCTTGAGTAGACCAGAGTCCCCATTCAGCCTCTGCTGGTATAGGTGGGGCTGCGGCCATAGTTTTTTTCTGTGGTGCTTGGTTGTAGCAGAGCAGTTACTGTCTAAACAGCCGTTCTCAACCTGTGAGTCGCGACCCCTTTGGCGGTCGAACGACCCTTTCACAGGGGTCGCCTAAGACCATCCTGCATATCAGATATTTACATTACGATTCATAACAGTAGCAACATTACAGTTATGAAGTAGCAACGAAAATAATTTTATGGTTGGGTCACAACATGAGGAACTGTGTTTAAAGGGCCAGAAGGTTGAGAACCACTGGTCTAAAAGTTTCTGTGTTATCAGGAAATACTGCCCATTTCCTGGTCCTATGGCTAGAGAGAGAGGCTTTCCTTGGGCTTTTTTTGGTCTGCACCCATTGGCCTTTCCAGATTGCTAGCTTTGTTAGCTCCAAGTCTGGGCTATACGAGGCAAAAAGAAATCTGAGGAAACTCACTCCCATGATGTTCTTAGGGTCTCGAGGTCCATAGCCAGTCTGCCTTCTTCTCCTCACCTTTCAGTCTCCTATGTTTGTTTTACATATAATGTACTTATCATGAGGAATAGGAAAAAGTATGTACTCTCCATTCCCAGAAGAAGTCTACAAATGGATTTTATACAACTGCCCCCAACAATGTTTGGTCACTATATGTCTGTTCTCAGGATATATCAAAACTTGTCAAGAAGCCAATAAAAAAATATTCTTTAAAAAATAAAGTATCAACAGCAAGTACATATGGTTGGTGCATACTTCTCTAACTTCACTTTTTTCACTACTTCCCTAAACTGGTAATCTCAAATGTTTTTTATTTCATACCCTTATGAGTTCACAAGAAGCATGCACCCTCAGTAAATGTATATTTACTTTAATTATGCACAAATATACTAATAAAACACATATATTATAAAACATATTTACCAAATACAAATCTTTACAAGGTGAGAAAAACAAGTGAACATAATGAGTGATCGTAATTTCTTTGAGCATCCCAATGACTGCTTTGTGTACCTTCCCCTCAACTTGCACTGCCTATAACTTCAGTATCATTGCCTGTAGGTCCCTGCAACAGTTTTCTGATGTCATTGTGCTTTTATATATACTACTAGAGGCCTGGTGCACGAATTCGTGCACCAGTGAGGTCCCTAGGCCTGGCCTGCGGGATCAGGCCAAAACTGGCTCTCTGATGTCCCCTGAGGGGTCCCAGGTTGCAAAAGGGCGCAGGCCAGGCCGAGGGACCCCACTGGTGAATGGTCAGGGCCGGGGAGGAAAGCGGGAGGTTGGCCAGCTGGGGAGGGACCACAGAAAAGCTCCAGGGCATGTCCGGCACGTCTTGCTCAATCCTGATCGGCCAGACCCCAGCAGCAGCATCTGCCCCCTGGTGGTCAGTGCATGTCATAGAGAGCGGTTGAGTGGCCTTAGCATATCATTAGCATATTACACTTTGATTGAACGGATGACTGGACGATCAGACACTTAGCATATTAGGCTTTTATTATATAGGATGATTCTCTCTGCCTAGAACAGTCATTTGTCCACCTGGCTATTGTCCTTTCTTCTCCTTTCCATTCTTCCTGTTACCTCTGTACCCAACTCTACCTGGCTACCTCCTTTGTATTTGGTAAAACTCAGCTTAAATATCACCATCCCTGAAAGTTTTCCCCAACTCTATCACCTACAACTCCAAATTACTGTAACAAAGGACATTGATGGGAACAGCAGAAAGACTGACTTCAGATTACTACTTGGGAAAAGAAGTATTTGGCCTTTCGAAGAAAGTTAGCCAAATAATACTAGTATAGCCCAGGATATGGTCAGCTGTACATTCTTTTGTCTACCTTTATGACAGAGATGCAAATGATTAACAAGTGAGTGGATTTTCCACCACTGCTGCTCTCTCCTTTTCAAAGCAACCCTCAGCACTTACCTCACTTTCTGGAAGAGCCTTTTAGGTGTCCTCATCACTCAGGCTTGGATCCCTCCAATCTATTCAACAGAACCCTGAAGGGTTCCTCACTATTCATATAAATCCAGCTTCCTTAGATGTGACATTCAAAGCTTTCTCCATGATCTGGATTCAACCTACCATTCTAGCTTTCTCTACCACTGCTGCACTGCTTAGATCAGCGGTTCTCAACCTGTGGGTCGAGACCCCTTTGGTGGTCGAACGACCCTTTCACAGGGGTCGCCTAAGACCATCCTGCATATCAGATATTTACATTACGATTCATAACAGTAGCAACATTACAGTTATGAAGTAGCAATGAAAATAATTTTATGGTTGGGTCACAACATGAGGAACTGTATTTAAAGGGCCAGAAAGTTGAGAACCACTGGCTTAGATGACCCGGACTTCAACCAAAAACACATAACTTCCCTCTCCAGAACCTGCACCACACCACACTGCACCCTTCTGATATCTCAGCACATTTTTGCTTAGAGGTGTCTTCCACCTAGAATACCCTTCTATGTAATTTTGTCTCCCATGTGGCATTGGAATCGCATCCATCTTTCAAGGAATGGGCCCACCCCCACCTTCTGCTTGAGCAGTCCTGGATCCCCACAATTGAAATTCGACCTTGAACTGTATAACTTTTCATAGTGTTGAGAACGCCAATGCACTTTATCATCCTAGTAGCCCTTTTTATGCTCCTTTAACAAACTCAGCCCAAGTGCCCTGCTAAAGTCACTGCAGCCAATGATGGAACTGGGAATTCAAATGTAGGTCTTCTGACTCCAAGTACCCTGTGCACACACCATATCACAGACGCTATCGTCAAGAATTTCTTCCTCCTGTGCTCCCAGGATGCTTTCTAATTTTAACAGCATGTTACTCCCAGTTCCATTTTATGTTAGAGTTGGTGTATATTTGGTGAAGGGACCTCATCTTGTTCATCCCAGAATCCCCAAACATTCTTTATATATAGCAGGTAATCAGTAATCAGGCTGGATTTAATTCATTTAGGTTTTTAAATTTACTTCATCTCAAGTTCCAAAATTAGTGCTGAAAACAGTACTCCAGAAGCCAAATAGAGTGGAGGCTGGGAGTGTGGGCTCCTCCTTGAGCAAGTTACTCAATACCTATGTGCCAGTCTCATTTGTAAAATGGAGGTAATGCCTGCTTCACAGGATTGTTGTGAGGATTAAATTAAGTAATGTACGTAAGACAGCCACTCAGGGCCCGACACACTCAATATATATGAGCTGCTAGTACAGATTCCATTTTATGTACCCCACATGGTAGTACCTCAAAGGTCAAAAAATTCTGATTTCAAAAAAGAACTACTCCAAATCACCAAGAGAAATTTAGACTATGAGAAGTGTAAATTAAGAATGCAAGGAAGTGTACTGAGCAAATTTCATAAAGATCTCCCTGAAAAAAATTTACTAGCCCAATACATAAAATCCCCAGTTACCTGGGAAATTAATATATACTGAATGACTCTATGTGAAATAACTAGGTACTATTATTAGAAGGTATACAAGTGAGATGAGTGTGAGAGATTTTATATGTATCTGCCTAAGAACCAGATGTTAGTCAGAGGCTTTTGCAATTACAGGTGTATGACTACTTCGCCCTGAAGGCAAAGAGCAAGGAGGGGCCACAGTCATGCACCCCTCTTAGAGGGCTGCATAAAGCACATTTAATCCTCAAGGAATTTAGAATTTCCCCAGCCCATTGAATAAATACACGAAGGCGTTTACTGACACTGATGAGTACTAGACCCCCCGCCCCCCACCTCCAAGCGACTGCTGTGTCTAATCTTGACAACGCACCCAAGTACCACACCTCAGTGAGTTAGTTACACTGACTCTTAGTACAGACATGTTAAGCAAGCTGGAGGGATGAAAGCCTTCATGTGCAACAGGTCATTCCTCCACCGAGTAGATCGGTGAAGAAATTTCTACGATTCCTTTCGGATCTAAGCTCCATGATTCTGTGATCTCTCCTAGGGCTACCTCGCACAGGCAGGGCAGAAGGGTGGCTGTGAGCATAGAAGTGAAGGAAAAGCGAAATTCTGGGCGCGGTTAAAGCCGAAGCGATCAAATTAGCTTCCAGGAGTGGAGCCTGGAGCCAGGGCAGTGACGGAAAAATGATGCAGGCTGGGAGAGGCCGGCATGGACAGAGACCTTCGAACCTGGGTTGGGAGTTAGTTCTGAAATTGCTCGTCTTATCTGCCACGGTTACTGACCTTGGGCACACGCACACCCACAGACAACGGATCTGACTCTGAGTTAGTTGTGGCTTCCAGTTAACATCCCCAAATTAAAAAGTTAATGCAAGTTGGGTTGCAGGCTTTGAAACCATCTGAAGAACTGGACCCTCTCACGGAACCCCCATTGCACACCATTAGCCCTCTCCCCAACCCACTTCGGCCCGTCCGAGGCGGACAGAGTTGCACAGGCGGTCGAATGGGGTTCGAATCCAGTCCGAGCCAGGCCTGGCTGAGCCCGGGGATCTGCTCTATCTTTGGACCCCAAAGGCGTGGGCCACGCTGGGCTCCCCACTCGGGAGAAATAGGTTCTGCGCCCACCTTGGTGCTGGGGTCCGGGTCCGAGCAACAACCGAGGGCAGCCTGGTCGGTAAGGCCGCCTGACGCGGGCTGCGGCTCTGCCATGGCTGCACTGCTGTATCACAGACGAGGGTACCCGGGAACGCGGCGAGCTCCACACTCCGCCCAGCCGGGGGTTGCCTCCACCAGCCGCGGCGCCGCGCCGCGGGGCGGGCTCCCGCTGCCTTCCAGCCAATAGCTGTGCGGAGAGCAAATTGGTTCTGTGCTGATTGAGTGCCAGTGAGTCAGCGCCTCCAGCCACAGAGGTCTGTGCCCCGAGACTACAACTCCCAAGGTGCCTTGCGCCTAATGGAGGCCCGCTTAAGGGGCGAGAAAAACAAACAAACAAACAAACAAACAAACAACAACACTGTGGGCTGACAAGAGTGGTTTTTCTTCGTTGCTTGATGACCTAATTTTGTTAAAGTTCAGTAACCACTCATACCTCAGGGCTGCAACTTGGTAGGAAACTGGAATCTGATGGAAAAAGAATTGGGAGTTACTATTTTTAAAGTATAGGAATCCCAAAGTCTAAGTTTAAACAGAACAGGATAATTAAGACAATTCTGACTTAGTAAAAAAAAAAAAACCTAGGTTCAAGTTTTTGGTTCCACTATTTATTAGCTTGGTATAACTGGCCCCTCTGAGCTTCCTTGCAGGATTTGGTTGAGGATCAAATGAGATTTGTCAGTGTTTCACACTTATGCGTCAAAGGTCAGCACTTTCACTGTGTTTTAAGTTAATTTCGCTGAGACACATATTTTAATTGTCTTCATTTGAAGACTTAGTCATCACTGTTGTCAATTGAGGGTTGTTGGTGCCAATTCAATGCCAACAGGAATCCCCAGCTTGGGTGTGGTGAAGAAGGAAACTATTTCGTGCAAACAACTCAACTGTGATACAGCAAAGCTGGTGGCTGTGGAACAGCACTGACCCAGGCTGCTCTGGGGCTAGGCCCCTCTCCAGTTAGACAGCTGTGTTCCACTACACTCAGGCCTGCTCCACTCTGTTTATTTTTGCTCCAGCACTGATTTGATCAAAGTGTTTCAACTCCAGCCACGGAAACACAGTCTGCAACTTTCAGTCATCTGGAGAAAGGGAGAGTGCACTGTCTGAGCCAGAGGGAAGCTGACTTACATAGATAAGTCTCTGCCCCTTTTCCCTGATAGGTCCGTTTTTATGCAGAGGAGGAGTCCAAATCCTCAAAGTTTGATTGATCCAAAAAAAACCACCAAAAACCCCACTGTCCTGACTTGTCAGTGAAGATGCTTATGGGAATATAGATGCACAATTCCAATTGGATGGGGAAAGCCTCAATCCTATTGCTTGAGAAATTCCTTTGTCAGGGCTTGCTTAAATGACAGAAACACAATGCCGCTGGGCAGTTCGGTGCTGGAGGCAGATAGTTTAGTGCAGGATTCTCCCTGAAATGCAGTTTGCATGAGAGGTTCCTTGTGTAGAAATGGCTGCTAGGTTCTGTTTTTTTTTCAATTTGAGCCCATTTAAGCTACTGAGAGCCCTTCTTAGTAGGTATCTTCTTTCTCAGGATCCACACTGTTCTATGATGACTAGAACAAAATAAATATTTCTTGTTGTTAAAAGACTAACTATCATTACTGGTGAATACATAACTTAGAAAATAACTTTGTTAATAAATGAATGAGTGAAAGAGAATGTTTTTTAAAAATAAGTTTTATTGACTTTTTAGAGAGAGAGGAAGAGAGAAGAGAAACATCAACGTGAGAAACATCAATTGGTTGCCTCCCACACACAGCCACAACCTGGGCATGTACCCTGACTGGGAATTGAACCAGTGACCTTTTGGTGCACGAGACGACACTCAATCAGCTGAGCCACACCGGCCAGGGCTGAAAGAGAGTTTTTAAGTGAATAGGAGGGTCTCTTTAAATTAGCAAAAAGATAGATGGATGTCAGAAATGTTGCTTGCAAGGGGTTAGGCAAAGTGGGAACCTATTGGCTGACCTAACCAAACTGAAGCAGGGCAGGGATGCTCTGGCATCAGGCACCAGGAATCTGGGACTATGCCCTTGGACACCACCAAGATGTCTCCATCTCTCATCTCAGCTTCTTTCTTCATGTCAGCTTCATTTTGTCAGGCACACTTGCTCCAGTTGTCTAGTCACTTGAAGTTTTCAGCCTCTCAGTTTCTCACCAGAGAGGAATTAATCTCCTCCCTGAATTCCAATTTAATAAAATCCAGGGAGAAGCTATGATTGGCCGAGGCTAGGACCTGTGCTTACTACTGTGGTCAGGGCAGTTAGGATTAGAATATACCTGGTTGTGGGGTGGTGGTGGTGGGGGGGAGGATCAGTTCCCAAAAGAAGAGAGAGTTTATTCAAACTGAACTATAGATGTCCACTGCAAAAAGGTGGGCATGATAAGAATTTCAACAAATTTTGTGCATACCTAGTACTAACTTATTGAGGGATATTTCATCAAAACTCAATGTACTAGAACTACAGAACTTTAACATGGAGATAGATCTCAAAGCTACTAAACCCAGAAATTGAGGCAATACACAAACTCTGTATATATTGTGTGTTAACACTTAATTTTTGTATAGCAAGCCCAGACAAAAGAAATTTATCTGAGATATTTTGTTGAAAAGACACCCAAACTGTGTGTGTGTGTGTGTCCCCTCAAATCCCTCTAGTGAACTTCCTAGAATATGTGAGAAATAAACTAGGTGAATGGATAGAAAGACTCAGTGTCTTAAAATATTGATTTGCTTACAAATTAGTTTATTAATGTAAAGCAATTCCAATAAAAATCTTACGGGCTTTTGATGAACTGAATAAATTAATTCTAGATTCTATTTTTAGAGCCTCCCAAAAGGCAAGACACCTTTGGAGAATAAATAAGTAGGGACCTAACCTTCCAGATAACAACTTAATATAAAGCTACAGTAACACAGTGTGATAATAGCACTGGTATCTATAATAATAAAAGCGTAATATGCTAATTAGACCAGATGTCCTTCTGGACATCCTTCCGGATGACCTTCCGGATGAAGCCAGGGCTGGGAGGGAAGCCTAGGTCCTGGGTATGAGAGGGAAGCCAGTGCTGGCAGCCGGGAAAAGGAAGGCCTACTCTTGCACGAATTTCATACATTGGGCCTCTAGTAGATCAATAAATGGGAACTGTGTTAGGCAGCTGTAAGATGGCTCCTATGATCCCCACCTCCTGGTATTTACACTCTTGTGCTATTGCAGAAGTGATGGGATGTCATTTCTGAGATTAGATTATATGACTGTGATTCTTATATCTGGAGCTCTCTCACTTGCTTTATCTCCAATCTCTCACTCAGAAGGTAAGCAAGCTGTCATGTGGTAATCAACAGTATGGTAAGACTCACATAGCAAGGAACTGATGCCTCTTCTCAACAGCTAGAACCCGAGGCCTGCCAGTGGCCACATGAGTAAGCTTGGAAGTGGGTCCTCTCCCTGTAGAGTTTTGAGATGACTGCTGCCCCAGTTGATACCTTAATTTTCAATTCATGACAAACCCTGAGCCAGAACTACCCAGCCAGACCTTTCCAGCTTCTCAACCCACAGAAACCATGAGATAATAAATACTTATTGTTTTTAGCTACTAAGTTTTGGGATATTTTGCTGTGCAACAATACACAGCTCACACACACACACACACACACACACACACACACACACAAACTTGATATAGATCAGGGGGAAAGGATGAAGTTCTCAATGAATGGTGCTGGGACATCATAGTTTATATTTATAGGGGGAAATGTAAATTTCTCTATTTCTTACAATAAAGAAAAACAAAAGTCCTATTGTATCAAAGATATAAATGAGAAAAACAAAACTTAAAAACATAAAGAATAAAAATCAGAGAATATCTTTATGAATTTATGGTAGACATTTATCAATGAGATGTAAAAGCACAACATATAAAAAGGAAAATGTATCTTTACTAAAACACACTATAAAAAAGGGAAAAGATAGCCCGGCTGGTATGGCTCAGTGGTTGAACACCGTCCCATGCACCAAGAAATCCTCGGGTTCAATTCCCAGTCAGGGCACATGCCCACGTTTCTGGCTTATCCCCAGTAGGGGGTGTGCAGGAGGCAGCCAATTGATGTTTCTCTCTCATCACTGTTTCTATCTCTCTCTCCTTCTCTCTCTAAAAATAAATAAAAACAATTTTTAAAAAAAAAAAATTCAAAAGATTAACCAGAGTGGAAGAACATAGCCCACAAAGGATCGGTGTCCACAATATGCAAAAACTCTTACAAATCAGTGAGAAAAAGGTAAACAACTCAACAGAAAAAATAACAAAAGAGAAAAACAGTTTACAAAAGAGGAAACACAAATAACTAATAGACAGATTTTTTAAATGGTCCTGGTAAATAGGGAAATGCAATTTAATTTAAAAAGGAGGTTCCTTCCATGCCCTTCAGAATGACAAAACTTAAAAAATTTAAAGTCTGACAGAATCTGTGGATGTGGAACAACTGAAATTCATATACATTTGCTGGTGTGCACCTAAGTTATTATTATAAACACTTTGGAAAATAATTTAACAGTATCTAGGGAAGTTAAAGATACTATATCCTAGGATCCACTACTAGAGGATTATTGTGTCTATATATACCCTAAGAATAAGAGACATGGTTTGCATAGAAAAAAAAATGTGAAACCTAAATGTTCAACAGCAAGAAGTAAGTTGTGCTATTTTCATACAGTAAATTCTATACATAAGTGAAAACGAATGAGTCAGAGGAACATATTTCAACATGGATAAATCTCACAAATGGAAATGAAATAATTAAAGGTCGCAGAAAAAACCCCCACATAGCACAGTACATTATTGCAAAGTTTTAAAATGTACCACAATATAATCTATTGCTTAGGGCTAAATACACATCTCGTAATGAAATCAGGAAGTGCCTGGAAATAAATAAGTCCAAATTTAGGAACATAATTTCCTCAAGGGGCCGTGGAGGCAACAACAGGGGAGAGATATACAAGCCTTGACATTGTTTCATAACTTAAGCTGGATGTTGGGTAAATGTATTGTTCTTTCTACCTCTCCATATACTTAAATATTGTACCATATATTTTCCTAAAACGTGAAAGTAATAAGCACCACATATAGAACAAAAGGGAAGACAGCAATAG